ATAGAAATGTAATATATATTTTAATTACGTAGATAAAAAGCTAAGTTCCTCTTCTTGAAAATGGTCTGTTTGATGTTACAATCTTTTTAGCTATTTTTGAGTTACAGCTCAATCAGATAGATATTTCGATAACGACTTCTCGAAAATCGGAAAAATTTAAGGCGTTAAAAAATCTATAAATTTAAATTCTTAGAAAAATTGTATTTAGGGATCTTTAGGGGAAAGTGCTAAAACGAAACGTCATATTAGTTTCACATACACAAAAAAATAGTTTACTTGATTTTTTTTTTTTTGTACTCAGACGAGGAGATGAGAAGTTAGTGCCGAGTGGATCGAAGTCACTATAGCTCAAGTGGTAGAGTAGCGGCGTATCGAGCCGAAGGTCGTGGGTTCGAATCCTGCTCTTGACACTGACTTTTCCATCTCAACTAAAAACCTTAATTAATTTTTGGTTATTGTTAATCTTTGATATTTTTACTATATTTTTATCTAATATACATAAAAAATGTATGTAAAATGATATATTCTCATAATTGATTTGAGCAAGTACAAAGGCGGAATAGAAATATTAAAAAACGGAAAATTTCAACTTTCAAATTTTTTGGCGAAGCCAGCGCCTATTTACCAGAAGTAGCGTATTTTGGAGTGTTGAATCACAAAAAACCTTTTGGTCCAAATCCGTGACCCACCAACCTTGTAAGATGAAAAGGGCCGCCGACATGACTCGCCTTTCCATCTCAATGGTCCAATTAAGTCCGGTTGTAAAATATTTTATTTCCTTTATTGTATTCAAATCAGTGTGGAAAGCCGCCGGAGGACTGTGAAAAAGTTGTGCGTAGGAGTCCAAAAGGAAGAAGAGCGATGTTGATATGTAAATAGGAGGATCTGTGTGTTGGCCCAAGGGCTGACTAGTCACCAGGGCATATCCGGCCGAAAATCGTGACAACCTCCGTTCAACTCCAGTTAACATGACTTTCAGGATTAATTCACATAACTGTAACTTGGATTCCGAACAAGTCGGAAGGGGGGTTAGGATAAATCACGCCCAAAGGAGATTTATCTAAGAATGCTATGGTTTACAGGGTATTGTTCCCAGCGGGGGAAATGCTTGTTTCTTAATGCTTGACTAAGTTATTACTAAAGTCGAAAGGAAAACTTACATAAATTCAGGCATAATAAATAACGTTTCCCCTAATTAAACATTACCCAGCAGATTTAAACACTTCAAAGTTCAATATGACAAACATAAAATGGATAAAATAGAATATAATAAATACTGTCAACTCTGAAACCTGGCGATAAGCCTTAATAAATAGACTATAGCTTTTATAAACGTAAAAATTTCTTTTGTTACATTTTATATCAGCCTCCAATATTAAAATTTTATCAATTAATTAAGGTTTTTAGGTGAGATAAAAAAGTCGATGTCACGAGTAGGATTCGGACCCACGACCTTCGGCTAGATACGCCCCTACTCCACCACCTGAGCTATCGGGCCAACGTTTCGATCTTTGAGGTCATCTTCAGAGCCTAGGAACAACCCTACACAGAAAACAAACACTCTGAGTGAGTACAAATACTTTTGAGTTCTAAATTTCTAGCGTTGTATAAATTTACTTTTTCTACATCCTACATGTATTTGTTAAATTTAAACAATGTTTGTAAATTCCAGGCCCTGAAGATAATCTCAATAAAGATCGAAACGTTGGCACGATAAACAAAATGTTTTTCTGGTGGAAAAAAGGAGGGAAAATTCAACAGGTGGGGTTGAGATGAGAAGTTGGTGGCCGAGTGGATCGAAGTCACGATAGCTCAGGTGGTAGAGTAGCGGCGTGTCAAGCCGAAGATCGTGGGTTCGAATCCCGCTCGTGACATTGACTTTTTTATCTCAACTAAAAACCTTCATTAATTGTAAGATATTAATTGGTCAAGCGGACCCCGAAAACTAATGAATTGATTAAAATTTTATATTAATCCATACACGTTTAGCGATCATAATTGACCGTATTAATTATTTAAATTAATTTTTCACTTTATCGAAGGACTTGGTTTAAATGAATTTTTTTTTTTTGGCGTTATGATCGATGCATATTAGCCATGTGACAATTTTTATATGTGTGTTCAAATGGGGGGGGGGTTATCGTGAAAAAAGGGCCAGAGGCGACGGTGGGACGACCGCGGCGTGAGAGTCTCTCATGCTAACCACTCGGCTACCGCGGTCCCCAAATGAAAAAGTTAGTGTCACGAGCGGGATTCGAACACACGATCTTCGGCGTAATGAGTCGCTGCTCTAACCACATGAGCTATCGTGATGTTACGATTGTCGAGTTCCAACTACTCGGCCACCGCCCTTCCCAACATCATTAATAGTAATAATTTGCAAGAATATGAACATCCACACACAATAATAAAAATTATGGTTGCTAGCCTAAAGAATGTATTGTTTGAGTTTTCAGCGGATAAGAACTACGAGTCGGTTCTTTTGTTAAGAAAAATAAATACCATACATCATACTAATCTGCGTTAGACCCCAGTCTAGTAAAGAATGAATAGAAAAGCGCACATTACTGTTCCATGCGAGACACCACTGGAAACATATCTTTGTGAGCTAATAATTAAATTTACTCTAATTCGCTACAGATAGGTAAGAAGGAAGAAAGTTCAATGCAACTCCATGGATTCCATAATACTAAAATTTATTTAACTGTAATTTGTAACTAATGAAATCGAAAGCTTTTGAAATATCAATAAAAAACTCTATAACAAAATTGGATTTGTCAAGACGTTGACAAATGTAATTGATCACTTCGTATAGAGCATGGCCTGTAGAAAACTCTTCTCGATTATCTAATTAGTTGCCTAAACCGTTGAGGCCACCGACGCCCAGGCTCTTTTCCTTTATGAAGTGAAACAACGAAAGATTTTTTAAAGCCATCTAAGAACTTCCCAGAAGTTAAACTCAAGATGAATATAAATGAGAGGGGTAACTAGATGATGTATAGTTAAAAATCATGATGTCAGTTAATAACTTAACAATAAAAAAATGTTTATTGCTTTTTACTTTTATTATTATAAATTTTCACTACCATTTCATCCCCATATGATATTTAGTATAGTGGCTCCTTATGTTGAAATTACAAGGATTTGATCGAAGCTTTTGAAGAGACTAGACACAACATTGCAGTAAAAAAACAAAAACTTAATTTTAAAAATTATTTTTATTATTTGTGTGGTGATTAGTGACCATTAGTCGATCATAATTCAGAAATCGTGAGATGCGGTCTGGTGTGACGTAGGTTTCAGAAAAACATTTTTTTATCGTGCCAACGTTTCGGTCTTTATTGAGATCATCTTCAGGGCCTGGGATTTACAAACATTGTTTAAATTTAACAAAAACATGTAGGATGTGGAAAAAAGTAAATGTATACAATGTAAAAAATATTTTTTATATTCAATCAAAGTATTGAGTGGAAATTGTGTATAATTAATTGAGTATATATATTATTAAGCTGGTAAAATAATTAAAACTTTAGTATTTAGTGAATGCACAAATGCTCTATGTATTATGTGTGGTGTTTAGTGACCGTTAGTTAATGATTATTTGTAGATCGTGAGATGCTGTCTGGTGTGACGTAGGTTTTAGAAAAACATTTTCTTTATCGTGCCAACGTTTCGAACTTTGAGGTCGTTTTCAGGGCCTAGGAACAACCCTACACAGAAAACAAACACTTTGAATGAATACAAATACTTTGAGTCCTACATTTCTAGCATTGTAAAAATTCACTTTTTCTACATCCTACATGTATTTGTTAAATTTAACAAACGTTTGTAAATCCTAGGCCCTGAAGATGATCTCAATAAGATCGAAACGTTGGCACGATAAAGAAAATGTTTTTCTGAAACCTAAATCACACCAGACCGCATCTCATGATTTCCGAATAATCATTTTTAATTTAATTTTATTTTATTTTATTTTTTTTTTTTTTGTTGTGAAAGTATTTCAACTACGAGGTTATATGAACCCTAGGGGTGCCGATGTTTTTGAAAAACAGCCCATTCGTATGTCGGGTTCAAATGCAAAGCCGCTGGATATTTTTGTATTCAGCCATATTGCAATGTTTTTTCATTTAAGATTTAACATTTGGAAATTTTAAAAAAAACCAGCGGTATTTAAAAAAATATATATTTGGTCCGCCCACTCCCGCTGTTTCCGAGGTGTTAGTTGTCTCGAACTGCACAATATTATAAAAGACAGACAAGCAAAGTTAGATCAAAATGGAGAAGAGGCGACAAGACATCACCGGTTTTAGTCCGTCGGTTCAACGACTCGCAGACCACCCAACATTCAAAAAAACAAATCACTACTTAACACACAATAATATTAGCAAATATATTTTCAAAACAGCATACGACAAGCGTTACAAAAAGAAAACAAGAATAATACAAGAAATTAAAAGTCACTTATTTATACAGGAATGTTGGAGAGTTGTGCAAACATGTTTTACATTTAACGGAAGCTCAACTATTTTTCAAAGTCCGCATATATCATATCATGTGGGCTTCACAACCCGATTGCATGCTGTGTGGACTTTTTCAGCCAACTGACCGCAGGTGAATTAGTTGAACGCGCGGAATTCCAAGGCCCGGCAGGGGAAAACTTTTAAAAACGTTAATCAATTATTCTAATGAATGGCAATCGTTATTTCTCTGATTTTACGGCTTAGCCTTTTTCTTTAAAGATTCGGTGCTCTTGCGACAGCTACGGGTCAAGGTGAAAAGGAAGTTACTGGGGCTTAGTTGCCTCCGGGTCAAGGCAAATACTAAGGTCATATGTTAATTTAACGACCAATCTGAACAACATACATAAGATAGTGGAACTTACAGATTTCGACTTAGGATTCTTTCCAATATTTCCCTACCTAAGGCAAATTTTTTTTAAAATTAAGCTTTGTACGGTTGCATTAAAAAAAGGAAAACTACTTCTGCTAGTAAATAAACTTTTTATTAATATTTCAATTTAAAGTTTTATTGTTATTCACATCTTTCGAAAGAATCGTCACAAAAGAACAAACGCTGAAGAATATATGTGGATATTTAATGAAGAAGTTTATACATGTCATGATGATCATGGTCAACCGGACTGCAAAAACCTGTGAACAAAAAAGAAGTATTTTAGTTGTGATTATTATGTTGTCGATACGCAACACATCATCCAATTTTGCTTTTTTATTTGTCTAACAACTATTTAATTTATTGGTTGTTTATGGGTTTTAAGAAGCAATAAAATGTGTAAATTGAAACCAATTTTATACAGTTTCTTTATCTCACTAGCTCTTTCTTTCTCTTTTCTTTCTCTCTCTCTCTCTCTCTCTCTCACTCTCTCTCTTCACTTAGTTGCCTCCGGGTCGAGTCAAATACTAAGGTCATATGTTAATTTAACGACCAATCTGAACAACATACATAAGATAGTGGAACTTACAGATTTCGACTTATGATTCTTTCCAATATTTCCCTATCTAAGGCAAATTTTTTTTTAAAATTAAGCTTTGTACGGTTGCATTAAAAAAACGGAAAACTACTTCTTCTAGTAAGTAAACTGTTTATTAATATTTCAATTTAAAGTTTGCTGTTATTAAAATCTTTCGAAATAATCTTCACAAAAGAACAAACGCTGAAGAATATATGTGGACATTTACTGAAGAAGTTTGTACATGTCATGATGACCATGGTCAACCGGACTGCAAAAACCTGAGAACAAAAAGAAAGTATTTCAGTTTTTGTGATTATTATGTTGTCGATACACATCATGTGATTTTTGTTTTGTTTTTTCATGTTAGGCAATCATACACAATTTTGCCTTTTTTATTTGTCTAACAACTATTGAATTTATTGGTTGTTTATGCGGTTTTTAAAAACAATAAAAAGGATAAATTGAAACCCATTTTTTTTAGTTTCTTTATCTCACTATCTCTCTCTTTCTCTCTCTCTCTCTCTCTCTCTCTCTCTCTCTCTCTCTCTCTCTCTCGATCCTATCTTTCTGTCTGTTTATTAATTAAACTAACTGTCTGTACTCCTCACCTCCTCTCACACCCTCTCTCACTCTCTCTCTCTTGCCCCCTCTTTCTCTCGCCTTCACTCTCACTCACTCTCTCTCCCTCGCTTTCGCTATCGGTCTCCCTATATACATTTCTATACATCTCTGTCTATATATTTATCTACATATCGCACACTCACAAGAAAAGTGACAACTCAACAAGAGAAAATTTTACAGAGAGGCAAATGAAAGTTTACTTTTTTGACTTATGTATTAAATGCATGCCATTATTGTTGTTGGCAATAAAAATCCATCAAGATTGTCTTTCCTCTCTCCAAGACTTAAACGAAAACACTAAACTTTAAAAATCCAGCTTAACACCCCTAAAAAACTACCCCTTTTTGAGTTGTGACACTTTTCTTGCATGTATTGGCTCTCAGTAATTTAAATTAGATAGTTTGTTTCCTCTTACGATAATGGCAGCCAATGAATGACTGTAAGGGTATTAATTTCTTTGTGATAGTAACAGACAACATACTAACCAAACAAACGAGCATAAACATCCCTGTAGTACGTATTTTAGTAAGTTAGGCCAAGCCTCCTAAAGTCCGGGGTAATTAGTTATATAAAATGCAAAATTAACTACTGAAGTAAAGGTTTTATTGATGATTAAAAATAATGTAATTGAAACATTAACGAAATCCTTAAAACTATAAACTTTAGTTGAGATAAAAACCTTAATTAATTGAAAGATATTAATTGATCAAGCGGACTAGCTGAAAACTAGTGAATTCTATAAAATAATGTAAAAGTTAAAAACAACATTGTTCAAAAATTATGAAAAAAATACATTATAATTAAGAAACTTAAAAATCATTTGAGATGACCTATTATCCCACCTTCAAGAAGGAAGAATCATAAGATTAACTGTTGAGGTCAAAATATAAGAAAACATAATTAAGAATGTTATTAAAATAAAATAAATAAAACTAAAATAATTCACGAACACTCTAGATTAACGTATGGTCTTGAAAAAGCAAATTACGTTGGTACTGCCAATTTTCTGACCTATTTTAAGGTCATCATTAGGCCCTGTATTAATTTCACGGTATGAAAAACATATTTGTACAATTATTTAACAATTGTTTTTCATAATGTGAAAATGTGACTCCGATACAGCATAAAATCCTTAATTAAAGAAGAAAAAACTGAAGTAACTCGAAATGTGCTCTTATAATACGTACACCGATGCTTTAAAGGTCGACACAGAACAAAGATATGCCACTTTTCGCGAATGGTGACAGTACCGCCAATTCAAAAATGGCACATAGTGCTCTTCCTAGTTCCCAGAAGCCAAGAGTTCACCTACAGTTACCTGGTCAAATGTATCCATTCATATCTTAACAACAGATTCTTCCGAGTTTCACTGAACAACTCCCTTTCACCGAAATTCAAAATAGCTGCAGGTGTTCCATAGGCTTCGCTACTTGGACCTACCTTATTTACACTCTTCTTAAACGCCTAAAATAAAAAAAAACTACATCTTGCATTATACGCTGATGACATGGCCATATTGCTCATCATGCAGACTATGCACCATCGTAAAAAGATTAAATCTCGAACTTGCAAAAATTAGCCGTTTTTGAGTTAGATGGAAGCTCAAGATAAATACTTCTAAGACTGAAGCAATTCTCTTTACTAGGCACAGACCTTTGCTTACACTCTTTTTGGGGGAGTTTTAGTAAATTGGTGGACAAAGTTGTTTATCTGGGACTGACATTAGACAGAAAACTCAATTTTGGTAAGCACATCCAAGGGCTAGTCGTTAAGGGACGATGTGCTGTTAAGACATTATTTCCTCTTTTATCTAGATAATCGCTTCTCAGCATGGAACAAAACTCTAATTTTTAAAGCCATAGTCAGACCCATGTTTTACGCTTGCCCTACATGGAGCTACACTTGTGACACAAATATCAATAAACTTTAAGCAATACAGAACAAACTCCTAAGACCTGCCACGTCATCTCCGAGATACACAAGGCTTACCCAAATCCATACGCAAACTGACATAAAATGGATTCGCGACGTCATAGTCAAACAAATTTTTTTGCACGTCTCTCCATGAGCCAAAATACAATCTGCACATCGGTAGGGAGATATACCACAGTTTCGAGAAAACACAGGAGAATAGAGCATAACATAATGTAAAGACCATGATAAATCATGTAACTTCTACCTATGAAAAATATCTACTCCTTAATGATACCAGCGTTTGTGTGTTATACCTGTGATATTTATATTTTGCCATTGTTTTAGAGCTATGCCATATTTATTTATATTTATTTAGTTATTTTTGTTTTTTATTATTTTATTGCTGTTTATATTTTATTGTTGTTTATGTTTTACATTTGATGGTATTGATATTTTTATTTATTGTACTTGTTATTTTTTTGTTTAGATGTTTTGGTTTAGAGTTGACATCTAATATTATTACAATTAATTAAGGTTTTTAGTTGAGATAAAAAAGTCAATGGCACGAGCGGGATTCGAACCCACGATCTTCGGCTAGATACGCCGCTGCTCTCCCACTTGGGCTCTCGTGACTTCGATCCACTCGGACATCAACTTTTCATCTCAACCCCACCTTTTGAATTTTCCCTCCTTTAATTAATAATAATAATATTATACCACGAAATTAGTGAATCTATTATTATTTATTATTAGAGAGCACTACTAAAATGGGTTTTATTCCCAAATATGAGTCAATTTAGATGATTCACAAAAATTATAGAGAAAATTTTAGATAGATATATTAGGCATGATTGTGGAATTAATACAATGATACATCCCAATCAGCATGCCTATTTACCAGGAAAATCAGTGGAAACTACCTTGCACTCTCTAATAGGCAGGATTGAGAAATCATTATTTAATAATGAATATACACTAGGTTGCTCCTTCGATATCCAAGAGGCGTTTGATAATGCTGATACTTCTTGCATTATATCAGCATTAGATAATTACAATGTCGACCATCACCTTACTAAATGGGTGAAGACCTACTTGGAAGGAAGGCTGGTCAATATGTGCTTAGGTGGTAGCACTTTTAGAATTAATGCCAAAGGAGGCTGTTTGTCACCTATTTTATGGTTAATTACTGTAAACAGCTTCTGAATAATTCAGGTTTCTACAGTCAATTATTTTCAGATGATGGTACCATATTGCTCACAGGTAGGGATCCCCTGACTCTTTCACTACTGATGGAAAACGACATGGGATTGCTTTATGGGTGGTGTTGATAGCCAAGCAGCCATCAAAGCACTAAGCTCAAATACCATTAGTTCAAGGATGGTGCTGAACTGCAAAACCAAACTAAATATATTAGGTATGCAGAATAAAGTCAGCCTCTGCTGGGTCCCGGGACACCTGGGAGAAGAAGGCAACGAGAAAGCGGAAATTACATCTACATCTACATAGGTGGTGTGGTGATAAAGGTTTATCAATTAATCCTGCTAAACGAGAATTGATAATGATTAGCAGGAGAAGAACATTAGGTAATTTTAAAACCCTTAAATTTCAGGGCATAGAATTATAGTTAGTGGATTCCATCAAATTCCTTGGTTTGACACTTGACAGGAAACTTGATTGGAAAGGTCATATTAATAACATAAACAGGAAAGGAACTATATCAATGGTACAATGTAGGAGAATTGTCGGAAAAACATGGGGCATCAAACCATGGGTAGCCAAATGGCTATACACTGCAATTATTCTACCTAGATTCTTTTTCGCAGCTTTAGTGTGGTGGAAAGGTCTAGAAAATAAAGGGAATAGCAAAAAATTAAGGTTATTTCAAAGACTAGGTTGTTTGATGGAGGAGGAGCATTTTCAACTACACCCAACCTAGCTCTTGAAATCAAAACCAATACCACACCTCTTCACATTGAGGTTAAGCTACAGATTAATTAGCGAGGGCAGCTGGAATCATAAGTGTAATAACATAGGTCAGTCGAAAATCTCACAACTATTGAGTTAGGTTAACGGTCAAGTATTAAGCGTTAGTGATAAAAAGATTAAAACCCCTTCGGGGAAAAAGCACTTTCAGGTAGTCACCCCTTGTGATTATAACTATAGTCTGGATGATGATCATGGTAACATAGATTGCTACACAGATGGATCACTTATCGAAAGTAGAGGGAGTGGTGCAGAACCTACATACCAAAATTAGGAATCAGCATCTCCTCCCCTCTTGGCGATAACACCTCCGTTTTTCAGGCGGAAATCTGGGCCATCAATGTGTGTTGTAGAACACTTATAGAAAAAACATTAAGGGAAAAGATATTAAATTTTTTTCCGATAGTCAGGCTAATCTTAGGGCATTACAAAAAGATTTGTCAACCTCACGACTGGTGGAGAAAACTATAGATCTAGATCAATAGGATCTCTTTCAGGTTTGAGAACAAGGTAACCCTAATTTGTATACCAGCACATAAAGAACACCATGGCAATGAAAAGGCGGATGGCCTGGCCAAAGAAGGTTCTAATACTGCGTTTGTCGGGCCACAACCGGTATTACCTCGCTTATGAGCACAGAGAAAGAGAGTATCAATAACTGGGGTATGAAACAATTCCTTAGGGAGTGGAATTTGTCCCCCGGACACAGTCAATCGAAAGAGTTTGTTAAGGCGATCAAACCAGCAGAATCGAAGTGGCT